AAATATATTGACATATATTTGAAATACTACAATTTTGGCCGTATTCAATATATTTCAACATATATATATATATATATATATATATATATATATAATATATACACACACATACACTGTATGTTGAAATGAGTTTTTATTACAAAATATGTGAAAAATTCATTCATTTTAAAAAAAATATATTTTACATCAGTTTATGAAATGCAAATTTTTTAAATAAGTACACCCTTAATTCTCATATTTATTATTATTTAGATATTGCCACAATTTTCTAGAAGTAAATAGCATTCTTGCGAATATGGGACAGCTGGAAGCAATAGTCTGCAAGGAATTCTGGGATACATGTTATACACAGGCGCTGACTTACTTCCATAACGCACTCATGTGTGATAAACGGTATCTTCTTCTTCTTTCACATATGACAGATGTACCATCCGGAAATGGCTAGCAGGAAACTGACAAGTGCTAAGCCCAAGCCTACTCTGTTGATTGTAACCTCACTTGGCTGTCATAACACATATGTCTATTGTCTGCTTCTGTGCTGGCGCCTGTTCCGTGGTAGAGGTGAAGATATGAAATTACTGTCATATTTTGGAAAGCAAGGAGATCTATGCAGCTGCGTCGCAGTCCCGCCAAAATATACACACAAATATGTAATGGTGCCATTGTATTCAGAGAAAAAAAATCTGGCTTGGCGAAATAGGACATGGTGTTTCATAATGATGTATTATTGTAGGCCATGTGATTCATGGAGATCTGCCACTACAAATCTGCAGCCCATTGGATTCTTAAAAGGGACACTGCCTACATGGAAACTTGCCTGTCTGTGTCTAATGTAACCTCTTGCTGACCATGTAACGCATACAGTATGTATGCATCCATGACGGTATGAGGTTGTGCGTTGAGAGCGTGCTCAGTGTGCGCTCCTAGCACTCTAACCAAACTGTCACGGACAGATCTTGGTGAAGGCCAGCTGGATAAACTTCTGATCATGTGACCGCTGTGAGAGCTACTTCCAGTGGTCATATGATCAAGACGCTGCTCTGCCACAAGAAGCCGACTTAAAGGGCTGCCAGGAGGTTAAATTAAGGGGTTAAAGTAGGGGCCCGGCCAAAACTCAAAAAAGAGTTTTGGATAGAGTGGGAGAGGCTTAGAACCCCTTGTTTTGACTGGACTTGCACTTTAAAACAAAGTGCTTTTATTTATTTATTTTGTCCCTCCCCTCACCTTACCTAACCTAACCCATCATACCCCTTCACTTACTTTTTACTCCTAAGGTCATGGTTCCACTGTTTGTTTACATCCAGCGATACAATACTTCAATGTCCTGGCCAAGTCTGCGCATTAGTGCCCTATAGATTTCTATGGACTATTTCCCAAGGTTGGAGAAGATCAGAGACACTTGCTTAGAAATCTATGGGGCTGTGTCTCAAGGCCAGAGAGGATCAGAGACACTCCCTTAGAAGTCTATGGGACTGTGTCCCAAGGTTGGAGAAGATCAGAGATGCCCCTTAGAAGTCTGTGTGGCTGTGTCCCAAGACTAGAGAAGATCAGAGATGCTCCCTTAGATGTCTATAGGATTGTGTTCCAAGGCCAGAGAAGATCAGAGACATTCCTTTGGAAATCTATGGGGTTGTGTCCCAAGACTGGAGAAGATCAGAGATGCTCCATTAGAAGTCTATGGGACTGTGTCCCAAGGCTGGAGAACATCAGAGATGCTCCCTTAGAAGTCTGTGTGGCTGTGTCCCAAGACTGGAGAAGATCAGAGATGCTCCCTTAGAAGTCTATGGGACTGTGTCCCAAGTTCAGAGAAGATCAGAGACATTCCTTTGGAAGTCTATGGAGCTGTGTTCCAAGGCCGGAGAAGATCAGAGACATTCCTTTGGAAGTCTATGGGGCTGTGTTCCAAGGCCGGAGAAGATCAGAGATGCTCCCTTAGAAGTCTATGGGACTGTGCCCGCCCCCCAAGGCCAGAGAAGATTGGAGACATTCCTTTGGAAGTCTATGGGGCTGTGTCCCAAGGCTGGAGAAGATCAGAGATGCTCCCTTAGACGTTTATGGGGGTGTGTCCCAAGGCCATAAGAGATCAGAGATGCACACTTAGAAGTCTATGGGCCTGTATCCCAGAGAAGCTCCCATATGTGTCCGAAAGCCATAGAAGATTGCAGATGCTCCCTTAGAGATCTATTTATTCAGATCAGAGGTGCTCCCTTAGGAGGTCTATTTGTTCTGTGTACCAAGGCCATAAGAGATTAGAAATGCTCCCTTAGAAGTTTATGGGGCTGTATCCCATGACCAGAGAAGACCAGAGGTGATCTCTTAAAGTCTATGGGCATTTGCCCCAAGGCCACGAACAATCAGAGACAGTTCCATAGAGTTCCATAGTTCTGTAATGTGCAGATGTGGCTAGGACATTGATGTCTTGCACAGCTGGGTGTAAACAAACAGCAGAACCAGAACCATCCAATTTAAGTAAGTATGCATTTGTGGGTTTGGTTATGTCAGGAGTTACATAGTGTTTTGAAGTGTATTTCAACTGGGTTACATGTGTATTCATGCTTAGGGCATTTTTGTTTTAGCTTTTGGGAGAAGTTGGAGACAGTTCTTAAAAGTTCCTTAACTTTGCCTAAAAATATGCAGAAAAGCACGTTTTGAGCTTTAACAGGGATTCCCTTTGAAGTCTGTAGGGGCCCAATATGCCCAAACCTGCCTCAAACGTACAGTAGCTCATGTAGCTTTTGGAACATCAGGGGTCGAGCTACAGGTGCCTGAGCTTTCATATGTGAACGTCCGCCATTGAAATAGACTTCATTGGATTTTGGGACTTCAAGCTTTGAGCTACAAAGCAGATGTGAATGGGGTCTTAAAGTCCACTTTCCCTTTAATAACTTTTGAGTCGCTCAATGAGTGTCATCAACGTGAAGAGATTCCTTATCTCTCTACCTGTTCTCAGGCCCATGTCGGGTGCAGACACTACTTGAAGTGGACATTTTGCTACCCGCTACCCCCAGCCCCCTGCGGTAGAGATGTCATATCAGGCGGTAATGCTGCCTGTATGACTGGACAAGAATGAAAGGCAGAACAAAACGTCAGCCATTGCTACCAGAACATTTGGGTTTTTCAAGATATAGAATCAAAGAGACAGGTGATCAATAGGCGATTTGATCAAAACAAGTAAATCGGCAAACAATTGAAAGAGCTGTAACTTTCCCTCCAACTGATTAATGGAGGCCATACATGCGTTAGTAAATTATTGATTTCTTTTCCAATCAATCTCTATTAATAGGAATAATCGATCTATAGTCGACAGCCCAATTGATTGATATGTCACACATGGGGAAATGGATTTTGATTGATGGTTAAAATACAATCATAACTTATGAACGTAACCTATGATCACTAACTATTGTTCACATCTCTGTTTCCACCATGTAATCTCATGATCTGACTTAAAATACGATCGTATTAATAAACAAAGTATCACAGTGCTGCAAATCGATGCAAAACAATCAATAGTTTGCTGCCCTGACCAATCAAATTCAAATAAAATTTGAATCTGATTAAACTGAATCTAAATCGATTGGAAGGGACGTTAGGGCTGTTCAGTTGATTACAGTTTTGATCAAATTGCTCATCAATCAAAATTTAAAAAAAATTGTATGACCACCATTAGACTTAGTGTTACCAAACCCCACACACTGCATTCACTATATCCGCTCTCCCCGGACCATGCAATTCACTATATCTGGTCTCCCCGGACCCTGCATTCAATATATCTGGTCTCCCCGGACCCTGCATTCACTAGATCTGGTCTCCCCGGACCCTACAATCACTATATCCAGTCTCCCCGGACCCTGCATTCACTATATCTGGTCTCCCCGGACCCTGCATTCACTATATCCGGTCTCCCTGGACCCTGCATTCACTATATCCGGTCTCCCCGGACCCTGCATTCACTATATCTGGTCTCCCCGGACCCTGCATTCACTATATCTGGTCTCCCCGGACCCTGCATTCACTATATCTGGTCTCCCCGGACCCTGCATTCACTAGATCTGGTCTCCCCGGACCCTACAATCACTATATCCAGTCTCCCCGGACCCTGCATTCACTATATCTGGTCTCCCCGGACCCTGCATTCACTATATCCGGTCTCCCCGGACCCTGCATTCACTATATCTGGTCTCCCCGGACCCTGCATTCACTATATCCGTTCTCCCCGGACCCTGCATTCACTATATCCGTTCTCCCCGGACCCTGCATTCACTATATCCGGTCTCCCCGGACCCTGCATTCACTAGATCCGGTCTCCCGGGACCCTGCATTCACTAGATCCGGTCTCCCCGCACCCTGCATTCACTATATCCGGTCTCCCTGGACCCTGCATTCACTATATCTGGTCTCCCCGGACCCTGCATTCCCTATATCCGGTCTCCCCGGACCCTGCATTCCCTATATCCGGTCTCCCCGGGACCCTGCATTCACTAGATCCGGTCTCCCGGGACCCTGCATTCACTAGATCCGGTCTCCCCAGACCCTGCATTCACTATATCATATATCCACTATATCCATGTGCAGAATGGATACGGGTTCAGTCTGTCTTATCAGTTGTATATGCAGTAAAGCATGCTTGTTAGACTCACTGTGGAACCTAAGGGGTTAATCCTCTGCATTGTGTAAAAAGGCTGTTTGATCCTGTCTTCTCTGCCCCTCCTCTTGTTGAAATGACCGCCTGATACAGACTGAACCCTTAGTCACATGCTCAGTTTGGTGTGTATTGCTAGAGAGGTTTTTTTTTTCTTGGGAGAGTGCTTGTGATCAGCAAAGGGCCAACAGCACTGTCCAGACAGAGGGTCAAGGGTTTCACATCCTCTTAGAGCAAAAAGAAAACTCCTCCTACAAGCTTTAACCAGTGCTCTACTGAAGTCATAAGACTGCTCTAACTGCTGATGAAAAAAGGTATTTAGCAGTTTATATTTACTAAAACAATTGCATTTCCATGTTGTGTGTACTGTGAGAGACCGGATATAGTGAATGCAGGGTCCGGGGAGACCAGATATAGTGAATGCAGGGTCCGGGGAGACCAGATATAGTGAATGCAGGGTACAGGGAGACCAGATATAGTGAATGCAGGGTCCGGGAGACCGGATATAGTGAATACAGGGTCCGGGGAGACCAGATATAGTGTATGCAGGGTCCAGGGAGACCAGATATAGTGAATGCAGGGTCCGGGGAGACCAGATATAGTGAATGCAGGGTCCGGGGAGAGCGGATATAGTGAATGCAGGATCCGGGGAGAGCGGATATAGTGAATGCAGGGGAAACTGGATATAGTGAATGCAGGGTCCGGGGAGACCATATACAGTGAATGCAGGGTCCAGGGAGACCATATATAGTGAATGCAGGGTCCAGGGAGACCGGATATAGTGAATGCAGGGTCCGGGGAGACCGGATATAGTGAATGCAGGATCTGGGAGACCATATATAGTGAATGCAGGGTCCGGGGAGACCGGATATAGTGAATGCAGGGTCCGGGGAGACCGGATATAGTGAATGCAGGGTCCGGGGAGACCGGAGATATAGTGAATGCAGGGTCCGGGGAGACCGGATATAGTGAGTGCAGGGTCCGGGGAGACCGGATATAGTGAATGCAGGGTCCGGGGAGACCAGATATAGTGAATGCAGGGTCCGGGGAGACCAGATATAGTGAATGCAGGGTCCAGGGAGACCAGATATAGTGAATGCAGGGTCCTGGGAGACCAGATATAGGGAATGTAGGGTCCTGGATTTAGTAACACTTTAACTATTGATTGATGTCACTCAAATTGGTGGTAGACTATAGATGGATTATTCCTATCGGAATTGACTGATTGGAACAGAGATCGATCATTTTTCAATGGCCACCATTAGGTGCGTTGGGTTGAAATCATGACTTTTTTTTGGTCCAGAGTTGGGCCACTTGCCTGGAGTTTGCATGTTCTCCCTGTGCGTGTTTCCTCTGGGTACTTCAGTTTCCTCCCACACTCCAAAGACATGCTGGTAGGTTAATTGGATCCAGTCTAAATTGGCCCTAGTATAATGTATATGTATGAATATGAATTAGGGACCTTAGACTGTACGCCCCTTGAGGTTTAGGGACTAATGTGAATGTACAATAAAGGTGTACCTCGGTTTACGAATTTAATGCGTTCTGTGGGACTTTTCGGATTCTGAAAAATTCATAAAACGAAACACGGTTTCCCATAAGAATGCACTGAAAAAAACCAATTGATCTGTTCCGGAGGTCAGAAAAAAGTAAAAAAAAAGTCTTTCATCTGTTCAAAACTCTTTATAAACTGCACTCTAAAGGCATAGTACTGTACAGGGACGTGATTAAAATGTAATTTGTACATGCATTGAAGACCAATTAATCCGTTCCGGAGGTCAGAAAAAAGTCAACAAAGTCTTATCTGTTCAAAACTCTTTATAAAGTGCACTTTAAAGGCATAAATACTGTACAGGGACATGATTAAAAAAAATTCATTCATTCATTCAAAAAAAGCCAATTAATCCGTTTGTATCGCGAAAAAATTTGTAAATGCACTGAAAACCAATTAATCCGTTCCGGAGGTTAGAAAAAAGTAAAAAAAAAAAAAAAGTCTTTTATCTGTTCAAAACTCTTTACAAAGTGCACTTTAAAGGCATTAATACTATACAGGGACATGATTTGTGAATGCATTGAAAAAATTTCCGTTCATATCGCAAAAAAAAAATTGCATTGTAAAACCAATTAATCTGTTCCGGAGGTCAGAAAAAAGTAAAAAAAAAAGTCTTTTATCTGTTCAAAGCTCTTTACAAAGTGAACTTTAAAGGCATAAATACTATACAGGGACATGATTAAAAAAAAATTGTGAATGCATTGAAAATTAATTAATCTGTTCCGGAGGTCAGAAAAAAAGTCAAAATAAGTCTTATCTGTTTAAAACTCTTTATAAAGTGCACTTTAAAGGCATAATACTGTATAGGGACATGATTAAAAAAAATTAATAAATGCATTGAAAACCAATTAATCCGTTCGTATCGCAAAAAAATTTGTAAATGCACTGAAAACCATTTATCCGTTCCGGAGGTAAAAAAAAAGTTAAAAAAGAAGTCTTTTATCTGTTCAAAACGCTTTACAAAGTGCACTTTAAAGGCATAAATGCTGTACAGGGACATGATTACAAAAAAAAAAAAACCTAAATGAATTGAAAACCAATTAATCCGTTCGTATTGCGAAAAAAATTCCTAAATGCATTGAAAACCAATTAATCCGTTCGTATTGCGAAAAAAAATTCCTAAATGCATTGAAAACCAATTAATCCGTTACGGAGGTCAGAAAAAGGTAAAAGTATATGTTCAAATTTCTTTATAAAGTGCACTTTAAAGGCATAGTACTGTACAGGGACAAGAATAAAAAAAAATTCCTAAATGCATTGAAAAAAAATTAATCCGTCCGTATTGCGAAAAAAATTCAAATGAATTGAAAACCAATTAATCCGTACGTATTGCGAAAAAAATTCCTAAATGCATTGAAAACCAATTAATCAGTTCCGGAGGTCAGAAAAAAGTAAAATTATCTGTTCAAAACTCTTTATAAAGTGCACTTTAAAAGCATAAATACTGTACAGGGACATGAATAAAAAAAAAAATCATAAATGCATTGAAAACCAATTAATCGTTCGTATTGCGAAAAAAAAAAAATTGCTAAATGCATTGAAAACCAATTAATCCGTTCCGGAGGTTAGAAAAAAGTAAAAGTATCTGTTCAAAACTCTTTATAAAGTGCACTTTAAAGGCATAAATACTGTACAGGGACATGAATAAAAAAAAATTCCTAAATGCATTGAAAACCAATTAATCCGTTCGTATTGCGAAAAAAATTCCTAAATGCATTGAAAACCAATTAATCCGTTCCGGAGGTCAGAAAAAAGTAAAAGTATCTGTTCAAAACTCTTTATAAAGTGCACTTTAAAGGCATAGTACTGTACAGGGACATGAATAAAAAAAATTCATAAATGCATTGAAAACCAATTAATACGTTTGGATTGCGAAAAAAATTCCTAAATGCATTGAAAACCAATTAATCCGTTCCAGAGGTCAGAAAAAAGTAAAAGTATCTGTTCAAAACTCTTTATAAAGTGCACTTTAAAGGCATAGTAATACTGTACAGGGACATGAATAAAAAAAAATTCCTAAATGCATTGAAAACTAATTAATCCGTTTGTATTGCGAAAAAAAATTCCTAAATGCATTGAAAACCAATTAATCCGTTCCAGAGGTCAGAAAAAAGTAAAAGTATCTGTTCAAAACTCTTTATAAAGTGCACTTTAAAGGCATAAATACTGTACAGGGACATGAATAAAAAAAATTCATAAATGCATTGAAAACCAATTAATACGTTTGTATTGCGAAAAAAAAATTCCTAAATGCATTGAAAACCAATTAATCCGTTCCAGAGGTCAGAAAAAAGTAAAAGTATCTGTTCAAAACTCTTTATAAAGTGCACTTTAAAGGCATAGTACTGTACAGGGACATGAATAAAAAAAATTCATAAATGCATTGAAAACCAATTAATACGTTTGTATTGCGAAAAAAATTCCTAAATGCATTGAAAACCAATTAATCCGTTCCAGAGGTCAGAAAAAAGTAAAAGTATCTGTTCAAAACTCTTTATAAAGTGCACTTTAAAGGCATAGTACTGTACAGGGACATGATTAAAAAAAAATTAATAAATGCATTGAAAACCAATTAATCCATTCGTATTGCGAAACAAATTCCTAAATGTATTGAAAACCAATTATTATCCGTTCGTATCGCGAAAAAAAATTCCTAAATGCATTGAAAACCAATTAATCCGTTATGGAGGTCAGAAAAAAAGTAAAAGTATATGTTCAAATTTCTTTATAAAGTGCACTTTAAAGGCATAGTACTGTACAGGGACAAGAATAAAAAAAAATTCCTAAATGCATTGAAAACCAATTAATCCGTTCCAGAGGTCAGAAAAAAGTAAAAGTATCTGTTCAAAACTCTTTATAAAGTGCACTTTAAAGGCATAGTACTGTACAGGGACATGATTAAAAAAAAATTCATAAATGCATTGAAAACCAATTAATCCATTCGTATTGCGAAAAAAATTCCTAAATGTATTGAAAACCAATTAATCCGTTCGTATCGCGAAAAAAAATTCCTAAATGCATTGAAAACCAATTAATCCGTTATGGAGGTCAGAAAAAAGTAAAAGTATATGTTCAAATTTCTTTATAAAGTGCACTTTAAAACCATAGTACTGTACAGGGACAAGAATAAAAAAAAAATTCCTAAATGCATTGAAAACCAATTAATCCGTTCCAGAGGTCAGAAAAAAGTAAAAGTATCTGTTCAAAACTCTTTATAAAGTGCACTTTAAAGGCATAGTACTGTACAGGGACATGATTAAAAAAAAATTCATAAATGCATTGAAAACCAATTAATCCATTCGTATTGCGAAAAAAAATTCCTAAATGTATTGAAAACCAATTAATCCGTTCGTATCGCGAAAAAAAATTCCTAAATGCATTGAAAACCAATTAATCCGTTATGGAGGTCAGAAAAAAGTAAAAGTATATGTTCAAATTTCTTTATAAAGTGCACTTTAAAGGCATAGTACTGTACAGGGACATGAATAAAAAAAAATTCCTAAATGCATTGAAAACCAATTAACCCGTTCATATTGCGAAAAAAATTTGTAAACCGAGGCATTATTTTCAATGGATTTTCATCCGTAAACCGAAAATTACGTTAACCGAGGCGTTTGTAGATCGAGGTATGTCTGTATATGTGTAAAGCGCTGTGTAAATTGATGGCGCTATATAAGTACCTGTAATAAATACATCAAATAAATTCTGTAGCCTGTCAAGGGCCAATCCAGCAGCGAATGAGTTACATCTCTTCCACGGCTACAGCGGAGGTTTTCAGTCCCTGTGCTCAGTAATCCAGCCCTCCATAAAACATACAAAGTATGCAGGCCTCTCGGTCTCCCAGTGTGGGTGTCTCTTGCTGACGTCAGCTCTTTATAATTAAAACACTTGTGGGAATAGACCAATTTACTTTCAATAAAACAGCAGCGCCTCTCAGCAGAGTACCTTTCAATCCCTCGCTCCTCTCAGATAATACTTTCCTTTTGGAAATCCCTCCATCTCTTCCTCTAATCCTATAATGTGTGGTCTCCTGTGATGCCAACTGGCAAATTAAATCATATTTTGCTTACTTCCCAGCCTCCTTTTCGGGAAGATCTGATCATCATAATAGTAGCTGGTAACAGCAGTCTATTAGTATATTCAGAAGACGTTTGACCTTGTTCACGTATTAAAACTTTGTTTATGATACAAGTATTTCTGGATTAGTTTGAACGTGTTTTTTTCTAGCAAATTTCCTAGCAACAGCACCATATTTTCCAAAATGAATCTGCTAATTTCCTAACGATCTAGAAAGCTAGACTTAGGCTGGTCATACATTATACAATTTTCTTGAGAATTTTGCTTTAGATTTACCAAAAAAACCAACCGTATTATATGAGGTTAAACCTAAACAGCACTTTCAGTTTTATCTAATTAAGGCCGGCCCTTGTGCTACATAGTTGAAGGTAAACCTAAAGGAAATTGGGCAGCCATTGGACAGAAAATTGTATAGTGT